AAAACTTCCTTCTCCACAACACAGAAAGTTTCATCACATCAACTTCATAGAAGCATTCCTCGAGAATTTTCGTCTTGGCAGGCCCGTGGCGACAGAGTAGGCTGAGACTGCCTGCGTGGACGAAGGCTTGTGAGTCGCCGATTTTTGCAGGACACTTTGAAATTCATTGAATCGTGAGAGGCCGGCGATCACCTGGGTACATAGCTCAGTGGTTAGAGCGGCTGACCTCAGATCAGCAGGTCCCTGCTTCAAATCCGGGTGTGCCTCATATTCCACTTGTGTCTGGCTTCTCCGGAAAATAGCAAGAGAATCCCTCAGCAGGTTGGTTCAAACCCGTGGCCCTGCGGGAGAGGCGTGTAAAATCTGGACGTAGATTCTGGTACTTAGGACCTAGTGCAAAAGTATATAGCATATTGTCGATGGTGTACTGTATTTAGGAACAGCAGTTCATAGTATGTTGTCTGTAGCATCCACGCACGTAGTATGCGGCAAGTTGCAGTTCCACATGTCTGCGCCAAAGTCTCAAGGGCTTCGCAGTGCAGAGTTGCGTAGAGTTGCGTAGAACTTCAGGCTCCCCTTTGCAGCTGCACCTTTGGCCCATGTCCAAGCGGGCAGCGCCTGTTGACGAGGAGGCCTGGCTAGAAGCGAGGAAGAAGCTCCTTAAGGCTGAGAAGGAGTTCACCAAGAAGAAGGATGAGCTCAACAAAATGCGCATGGAGATGCCCTGGCGAGAGGTGACAAAGGATTACAGCTTCACTCGGAAGGGTAAAACAGTGAAGCTGTCTGACATGTGCACGCATCCAACAGGCAACCTTATTCTTGTACACTTCATGTTCGAGCCTGGCTGGGAGAAACCATGCCCCAGTTGCTCTTGGTGGGCCGATGCGTATTCTGGCATTCTCCCGCACCTTCATCAAAGAACGGGATTCGTAGTAGTAGGGGCGGCGGCTGATGAGAAGCTGCAAGCGACAGCCTCTGAAAAGGGCTGGACGTTTCCCTTCTACAGTTCGCAGGGCTCCGATTTCAACCGCGACTTCAATGTGGAATTCACGGATGACGACATCAAGGCCAAGACTCGAAGCTACAACTACGACAAAGAACCCTCCATGAAGCAGTATCCGGGATATTCGGTCTTCCGTAAGGAGGAGGACAAGATCTTCCACACCTACAGCACATATGTCCGAGGAATGGACCTCATGAACTTGACATACAACTTCTTTGACATCTTGCCTGACGGAAGGGCGGAAGAGGGCCTGCCGTTCAGTATGCTATGGGTCAAGCACAAGGATGCCTATGAGCGCACATGGGAGGCGCCGTGAGAGCTCTTTGCTCAGCAAGGTGTGCTTCTTTCACGTAGAAGGCAGGTGCACAGAATTGATCTGCCGGTCAGAAATTAGGGGCTCTGGAGATGGTGCACAGAGCTTGGGGTGCTGGGCACGCGTAGCATCGGTTAGGCTGCTCGGCTCAGCCCGCTTTCGTGCTTGTTTTCGAGTGTTCAGGCTTGACTTCGAGGTTTTCTTGAAGGCCGTGCTAGTCGTCTTTCCCAGGAGAGCCCTGCGCTGCTTCCCCGCTCGTAAGACTAGCGGTTCGGCCGTCGGCGTCGCATCGCGACTTCAGGCAAATTCAAGGTCAGCCACCCAGCCGCTTAGCCTTTGCTGTCCACACCTGCTTCAGTTTCAAATTGAACGGCCGCATCTGCCGCAAGTCCACGTCTTAGCCTTCGAAGTGGGATTCGGGTCTGAAGCGGAGCTTGCTATTATGCTCTTTTGAAGTGACCTGAAGTTACCCGTGCAGTGACCTGGAGTGACTCTTGTGGTGACCCCACGAGCGTAACACCAAACATCGGGTATCACCGGCCCCCTGCCACATTCGTTGACTGCCG